ACGACTGTTATGAAAGTAACATGACCAGCTGTTCCAAGTACAGTGTGGGAGTACAGATCTCACTTTCCTTCAGCTGTGACAGTCCTGACAGCAGCACGCTATACTATAAAACTTGTTAGATAGCTGCTCAAATGCAATGTGTCAATGTGCACAACACATTCACACCTTCATTGTAAACACAAGACAAAAAAATGAAGTTGGAGCACATTCTTGCTGCTGGAACACAGAAAGGTCGATAGCAGAACCAGTTTAACTGATATTCTTACATCCACCCCTTCAGATCTGCGAGCCAGCAAATTCTGTAGATTAAACCGTAGTAAAAAATAATCTTTAGCTGCAGCCCTGTAAAAAAAAAACACGACTGCATAAAAGTAGAATAAAAAATTACTGCTCTCAGTCCAACAGCGGAAAAGTTACAGATGACTAGCAGATGAGACAAGCGTGTGGTTGATGATTTTATTTGGGATTTTGGAGCATTTCAAGTGAGCCCTATCTGAAAAGTTCAGGCTGCAGTCTGGTTCATAAGAGGTAAAAGTGTAAAGTCACTCTCACTGACAAGAATAACAGCCTGTGAGAAGGTCAATTCTCTCATACCACTGAGAGGCAAAGGAAGGGAGCATTAGTATGCTTCCCACATCGGCCGACATTATCAGCCGCATGCAGCAGTTTCTCCCTCCACAGCAAAAGGAAAAAAAAATCTGTACATGTTTACTCTTACAGTGGGAGTAGATCACAAAACAGCAGTCAGCCATGTTTGCGAAAGCCAAAAAAGAAATATTTGACATCTCAACCAACTTAACGTGTACTTATTACTGTAAATAATTTGTACTGAGGCAGGGAACAGTTTCCTTAAATGTCATCTGGGTAAATCTACCATCTTTCGGTTAAAGCAACGCCTCTGGTGTTTTTCCTTAAAGGAGATGGTGCTGAGATTAAGAGACAGGTCTGCCAAAGGCGCATTACTCAAGCTCTCCCTGACGTGTATATAGCAAACATGATATCTTATGACAACCACTGGCAAAGCCTACAATTCCTCCAGGCATATGATTTACGTTTCAAGGCCATTTAAGTGCTTGAAAAAATGCAGTTGTCAGCCAATAAGAATGGGAACCAATGTGTCTCTTAAGAGATTTGGGTTGACTCAGGCGCCATCTTGCTAACAATACACAGGGAGTCGAGCTGTGACAAACAAGACAAGCCTTCTCCTTTAGAAAGCCGTCAGTATCTAAAGTTCTCCGAGTGTTATTTGAACCAGATATTTGGGAAAGCTGGTGAGTGCTCACTTTTTCCCTTGGAAGTCAGCCACTTTCACTTGCATAGTGAACGCTGATGAGGGTAAAGACTGGCTTAGCGAGTTACAAAGTGGCTGAGGAACTGGCAAATCTACTGTGTGCGGGCTGGAGAAAGGAAAGCGAAGCATCCCTTTTGTTCTTTTCTTTTGAATACGACCGTTAACAGAAGTTGTGTCTTCTGTGATTGATTTTTCACTCCATCTCCTTCTTGCTCATTGGCCTGGCAGACAGCTACAGGCCTCCTGACAATGCTCACTCTCATTTCAAGGACAGTTTCTATAGCAAGTTCACAGGGAGCAGCCACCGCTCGCCTTTGTAAAAACATTTCAACGAGGCCACTGACAGGTGGTCTTCAAAGGAGCAAGGAAGCATAGCTGGCAAGTGAGCTACACAGCCAAGTACCCCTTTCATACAATATTCCTCTTCTCAACTCCCTGACAGGGTTGGAGAAATAGAGGTGGAAAAAAAAAAAAAGACATCTCTCGAATGTTTATACAGGAATATCCGTTTCACTCTGACCTCTCTTCTATGCAGATGCCAAACAGCTTTTAACTCCTGTGCTAAAGCCAACGTTCGCAAGGCTCCAATGATGTGTGCTGCATAAATAATCCATGAGACAAACATTTATCACAAACAGCCTGTATTATTTATCTATTAGGGAGCTTAAGAAGCTGTGGGACCTGCTCGGGGAATAGCCTGCTGTGCACTGGAGGGTCGGTGTGTGTGAACGCCACACTGGCACTGGCATGGAGCTGCAGTGTTTGGCCAAAGGGGCCCCCTCTGTGTTCCCTCTGCCCTGGAGCAGGAGCCAAGGCGTTCTGGGCTGCGTTTCAAGAGCAATAAACTTCTCCAGCATTTTAGAGATGGCATTTGGAGGTATCAGCATGCTAAGCCTGGGAGGGGTTGGCCCATCGCTCTGCCGACACGACCCTGGGAGCTGCCACTGCCTCGTCTGTGCTGAGGGGATTTGTGTCAGTGCCGGGCCTTAAAATACCACGACTCCCCCCTCTTCTTCCTCCTGTCTACGCTTCACTCACCCCCAGACTGACAGCAAGACACAGACTCACTTTCTCTCATCATTTTTTTCCCCTCCTACACAAGACTAAACGCATTAAATTGTATGTGTTTTTATAAGTTGTATGGGTTGTTTTGTTCATTCAGGGACCCATTATATGCTCAGACCTCTATCTAAATCTGGTCATTATCCAGATTCGGCTGAAAGTGCTGCAACATCTGAGCTCAAATTACACAGGATGAAAAATTTATTCGGCCTCATCAGCCAAGATTCTTGTCAGCTCTGACCGAAGGTGCAGCTTCTGTGATCGCGTTTTGTTAGGTGTTGCTTGCTTCCTCCTCATCTGTTTCTTTCTCTGGCACTCGGCGAGTCGGGTGAGGCGCAGACAATTACTGGGAGCCTGTTGTTCATTTACTCCCACAAGGCCGAAAGGCGGAGGTGATGAAGCAGCTGTTGGTTGGCATGCTAAATGAAATGCACACACACACACTGTGCATGCCTAAACAGCTCTGTATGAGACTTGTCATGCAGAGAAGTGGAGGACTGCTCAACTTCACTGCTAATCAGGAAGCCTCTGCTACGTCTTTGGGGCCCCTGTTTGTTCCTCTTCCCTGGTACTCTGCCTGGATTTGCTTGATTTCCTCATTTGGTTCTCATTTGTTGAGTTGCCACACAGCGCGACAAGTCTACATTCACGGGTCTCTTAGGGAAACACAGCTGAATGGCAGTGCAGTTTGATGTAAGCAGCATCTGTGTCTTTTTCAGTTTAAAACTAGCCAGTGGGTTGTTCGTGGGCTTGTACCATTAAAATGATGCAGAAAGAATCCTTGTGTTTAAAGCAGTGTGGAAAATGTAATACAATAGAGGGTATTGAGAAATGCCTCATTGCTGAGACTCACCCTTATATCTCCACTACACTGTTGGTTTACTGTTTATATGTCACCTAAAAGTGACACTTAAATACTCAGTAAAGATTTAAAACAGTGCAGAGTTCAGCCTCAGCACTCTCTCTAAAGCACAAAACCATATCTGATTTGCCTGCAGTGAACGGGCTGCCGCTTGAATAAATTCACAACAGACTGAAAGTCATAACACAGAGAAACTTGCAGTAATCAAACCAATCGCTTCATCTTTTATATGACATTTATCTGATTTTCTACCCTGACTCAGTCTACCTGACACAAGCTACTTTTGTGAGAAAAAAAAAACCCTGACTTCAAAGAGAGTGAAGTGGGTTGGAGGATGGAAACCATACTGGTCTCTCCAGCTCTGATGGTCATAACAACCTGTGTGCTACACCTGCAGAGTGTCTCCCTCCTCCTCCCCTCTACCATCTCTCTCCACCATACCACTTTTAAAACCACTCAAAAGCTCCCACCAACCTCCTCCCCACTGAGCCAGATAGAGTAGAATCAGAAGAAAACACAGCTCCATCAGGCCAAACCACTACCTCTTTCAGCCAAAATAGCAGCTTTGAGAGGGTGAGTGCAGGCAAAGGACAGACTTGGTTGGGGAAAGGGAAGGGGGCAGGGCGAGAGGGAGGCTCAATCACTCTGTGGGAGGCAGAGAATGAGGGAGCACAAACATAGTACTGGTGCTGGCTCTGAGCCATGTTTGTGTCACTAACAGAAGTAGCCTTGTCTACCCCCCCCCACCCCTCCGCCCTCCTGCCTCAACCCCTTGCCTTGCACTCGCTCTCTCCCAGTTTGCTTGGAAACAGAGTCAAGGGGTGACTGGCTGGATGCTTGGTAACAGAAAAGAGCTGCAACAGAGAGGAGAACAGGGGTGAATCAGACACAGCCCAGGGCTGGAGCAAAAATCAAAAAAGGGGGAAAAAAGCCACTCAATAGCAGTGACTGTGCTTTGGGAATGTTGATGAGCCGGGGACCTTTTTTCTGTTTGGTTCCTCCAAGTGAACCAACAAGCAGCACTGTGGATGTGTGGGCGATTTGTACTCAGCATGCCCGCAGAGCCGCTGAGCGCGAGCTGCTTTGAAGATTAGGTGTTTGCATTATTTCACATGCACAACAGCAAAAAAAAAAAAAGGGAGGGGGGGCAGTTTTCAGACCCAGCAGAACCTGATACTGCTAGTGATACATCTTTAAATTAAATAAGCTGAATGCGGTTTCGATCAAAGGGAGGAAAACTGAGAGCTTCTAAGATTTCACTCGGACTGCGCTGCAGGAGAGCAGCCAACTCTATTCCCAACTGGCAGGCTTGCAAAAAAAAGTACTTTGTGTTATGAGGCATGATGTTGTTGAGCAGATATCTCTGTGCAACAAACTCCCGTCTGCGCACTACCAAGCGAAAAAAACAAAACAAATCAAGGCCACCTAAGAACTGCCTGCCAACTACTATTCTTCTTGGCAATATTATGCAGCATGTGTGCTGTTAAAGCACGCATTAGTACCACCACCACTTCCTCAGGCAGTCTGGGCATATCCAATTACATTTGAGCAGGCAAAATATGTATGGTAATGACAGCAGAATGATCTTTTTTTTTAACAACAGAAGCTTCACTAAAGCCCAGAGAAAGCGATACCTCCTTGATGTCTTAATGCAACCATACAACCACGCTGGCTATGTGAATAAAATAAAATAAAAAACACAAACTACCCCATATGTTTTTAGCTTGTTTTCTTTTATGCCGCAATCCAGGATGCATTTATTGCGTGTTCAACCACTTCACTTACCATCTTCAGTTTCCTGCCACACAATGCCTTCCAGATTGACACTGGTTCCGGGCTCGCAAGGCCCCAAGCACTCGGGTTCGGTAGCCAGGGCCACATCGGACGTGTTCACCGCCACCGAGCGCGTGCGCACCATTATCTGCTCGCACGGCGAGGCAATCTCACTGTTGCCTACTGCGGCCAGGAGGTGGAGGGGAGGAGGAGCTGGCGTGGAGACAGGAGACTCCATCTGTGAAGAAAGAAGTGGAGGGTTGAGAAAGAAACACACGAGACATTTCTGAACCACTGTATAAACACATACGGAGCAGATGTTGAGATTCAGCCGACGGATGCCACAATGAGAGGAAGTGAACAAAGTGCTGAACGCCTGGAAGACGTTCTGGTATTTCAGTGGGCTTTGGAAGCACTCTTCATCAGAGGAAAGGGGTGATGCGGCAGCGGTTCGTGCTGCAATGTACTACAGTGTCTTTCCTTAGCCTTAGAGGTGATTAGCAGGCAGGGAAGGCAGAGAAGGGAATGTGAACTGCTTTGACTGCCTCTGTGGAAGGACAGAATTAGTTATGCAGGGTCGGCCAAACAATCCCTCCCCCAGCTCTCCTCCCGCGCACACAGCAGAGCGAGATTCATGACACCGAATCATCTCGCGGACTGATCACTCATTAATTCCCTCAATTAAAGAGCTAGTTGTGGTAAGGGAGCGGGCTGCTGAGGGTCAGTAATTGATTCCACCTGTTCTGACACGCTGTGACAGCAACGAAGAGACAGTGGGCCTACGTGGAAAACGAAAATGAAGAGGACAGCAAAGGAGGGGAGCAGCGCCAGAGAGAACCGGAGGCAGAAAAATGTGTAGGTGGAAAAAAGACAGAGAGAGGAAGACTGACGGTGATTTAAGGGCCACAGTGACACCAGGCTTAGTGCTCTTTATTCAAGGCAGTCGACATTAAAGCGCTCCAAATCATTAGCACTGAACTGCATGAGGAATGCCATGCTGCAGCCAACACTGCACATTTATTAATTGGGCATAAACCACTCAGTGCTCTGGAATATGCTGCCAATGCTGGATCCAATTAGACTTAGGAGACAAAACAACAATTGACACATTGGATTATAAGCCTGTACACCCTTTAAATAATTGTTCTAATCTACTTATTGCTCCAAAGTGAGCATAATGGAGAGAACTAACACAACTTAGTACTGCATATATTGAGGTTGTTGCTTAAGATTGATCCATCCGGGAATCGAAAAGTTGCCGTTTTGATTGGTTGGTTAGTGGTCCTCTTGAGTCCAACATTTTAAAAAACAATTTACAATAGAATAAACAAAACTAAAATCTGTTACTTGCAGTCGCCTCACAGTAATAACCTATGAGCTCTGAAAGATAAATGCTGCCGTGTTCTCTTTCAATCAAACATAATGTAGACCATGAATAAACAAAGGCATTTCAGCAAAGTTGGTTGTTGGAGTTTGTTTACTGGAAACTTACATTAGTCCCACATATTAGTAATGGGTCGACCCCTAATCCAGAATGAATTGGGCCTTTTTGCCTTTATTGGATAGGACAGTCGAGAGACAGACAGGAAAGCGGGGGAGAGGAATGGGGGTTGGGAATTGTAGCGAAGGGCTATGAGCAGGATTTGAACTGCCGGCTGCTGCGTCGGGAACTATAGCCCCTGTACATGGGTCGCCAGCTCAACCACTTGAGCTATAGTGGCACCAAGAGCGAAATAATTAAACTGTTGGTACAACTTAACTTAATCCTACCTAATTAATAAATCCTAACAACTCTGTCGACTGCTTGAATGAATGACAACAGCTAATCCTGAGAAATATCTCGGCATCTTCTGAATAGACACATTTGTTGTTTCCACATGCTGAATTTTACGTTTGGTTCTTTAGCTTTTGAGTATCTACAAAACTAATAACTCCTACCATACAGCTATATTTTGGTGCTAATTTGGAAATGTTGAAATGCTATATTGCTAATCTAAGGTGAACATTATAGCTGCAAACCACCAGCATCTTATCACTGACATGGTTAGCATTTAGCTTAAAAGTTAGCATGGCTGTAAATGCGTACTTCTAGGTATTTTTGCCATGATTAGTTCTAGCCAGTAGAACTGACAGGCACTGGAAGTGTTAACTGTAAATATGACCAGAATTCTCTAAATTTAGTGGATTTCCTCCCCCAGAGTGACACAGAGGTATTGCTTCAGTGCGGTTTATTTGTCTGTCAGCAAGATTATGTAAAAACTATCAAGTACAGTTTCATGAAACTAGCAGAAAGGTGGAGCATGGCCAAAGGAAAAACCCATTAATCCGGATCTGTTTATTTAAAGTTATGAGATAAGGCATTGGCCTTGGCGGAGGATTGCACTCTTCTAATGCCCCTCTAGTTCAACCTTTTTTTTTTGTATTTTATATGATCTTAACCTACCACCTAAAAACATAATCTGCCATAAAAAATACTAGCATTTTGTGTTTTATTTTTCCATGCTGTCGAATTTCCATTAAGATGTACTTTGAGACTATTTGCCATGAATTATTCTGTGAGGCACATCAATCAGAAAATAAAAAAATCCAAATCCATGATGAACAAAAGTGCTTTGAAAACCAAACATTAGTCTTTGATGAAATTTAATATTAGCTCAAGACTTGACATCGCACAAGCGTTATATTTCATGGTTTACTGAAATCAGCGTGGATAGTCCATTTCTCCCCATGCTAAGAGGAAGAGCAAATTAATGTGTGCAGAGAGCGACAGAGAGTCGCGGCTAACGACATCGTAATCACTGTGTGTCAGTTTCTGATGCATGATGTGGCCACGCTGCAGGTCGGCTGAGTGAATGAGACAGGACAGGTAATCACCCGAGCTGTCACCACACACTGTTCCTGGGCCTTATGGAGACACAGAGGGCTGCAGACAAGAGCGCACAATAAACCCTCCTTCAGAGTGACAGCTAACGGTGAAAGGTGCAAACAGGTTCATGCAGAGGCTCCTCTAAATTGACTCAACTCCTCAAACTCCAAGTGTTTGTGTCGACATTTTAGGAGCTGACATTTGTGACCAAAGTTAGCTGACATAATGATGACCTGGGGGTAAAAAAAAAAAAACTCCTTTCCAGGAGTAAATTGTTGCACGTATTTTTAGATTCACATTATCAGTCGTTTTTTGGTGGCTAGCTGCCAGTGGCCAGCTTGAATTACCACTGGTGCTACCAGCTAGCCATCCATTTATTTCCTTTAGTTATTCATATTGTTTTTACATGGATCCATACTGACCCTTTATATTAGAGAGCTAATGGAGCCCAGGACACTGTTGTAACCACTGTTGTCTTCCTAATCAATGAATCGGCAGGACATTTTGTCAATTAACGAATGTTAGAAAGTTATCCAAAGCTGCAACCAGACGTTTTTTTTGGTGTATTTGCTTTAAAAAAAAAAAAGAAAAGAAAAAAAGAAAGACTAAAACAATTAATTGATTATAAAAAATAGCTACTGATTAATCTTTAATTCATAATTTTCTACAATTAGATTTTTCAACTAATTGCTTCAGCTCAAGACCAGGAAGTACTGAAAACCCAAATGCCAGTGACTCTTGCACAAAATGCTTTTATGTGATAATCAGGTCATGAGTTATGTACGGCCTGTTCTGACTGCAACACTTCAAAACCGTTCATACTGAAGAAGTTCTGAGAAACACACTTTGATTACTTTTTACACCAAGACATGGAAAGCTCAGCTACAAACATAGTCTATACATATACGCCCCTCACCATTTAGAACAAACTAATGTACAATGCCTTTAACTGGGTTTTATTTGACTCTACAAATATGAATTCTTAGCACACACAACATTTGAATTTACTGAGAAAAATGTACTTAGATCCACATATATTCGGTTACATCTGGAATTTTTTCCCGGTGCTTGAATTTCATGCCATTTCTTTACATAAACAAAGATATTTCCACCATAAATGGATCCACAAAAGGGAGAAACGGGTGCATAAAAATTCACCAGAACGTAGGAAATGAGGACTTTGACACTTGTAGATTCCCCAATATTTAATTGAAACTGATACTCGTGCCACCACCTGCTGGACTGGAGTATGTAGAACAAGATTCAGTAGTTTGTCGGCCATATTGGACGTATGTTTGTTCTCTGATATTGGCTATTTACTGTCTTCAGAGCCCTCAAGGGCCATTTAAGCTCTGTGACACTTCCAAATAGGACAAATCCTAGGTTTTAATGTTAATAGTTGCACGCATCCAATGGGAACAGTACTGGTTAATTTGTCCACAATTATAGGTGGCGGTTGACGCGTGCAGTGGGAACAGGCTTTAATAAACCCCAATTTCAAATGACAGGAGGTTAATGATGGGAGCTAATAATGAATTAAGGAAAATAACAGGTTAAGTGTCAGTGCAGAGTGAAGTTTAAAGATTCCCCTGGTTTCCTGCTCCAGCCTTCCTATCAGCATCCTTTTTAACTCTCTAATTAGCCACATTAGGAGCACTGAATGTTGGCGATTCCCAGAACAATTCCAGTCAATATTCCTGAGCTTAATAATTTCCACTAATGAACTGATGAATTTCACAGTCATCTCTAATATTTTCCGATTAAGTGGAAGCTTGTCTGAATGAGCTTTGACTTTATTATTTCCAGTCAATTTCCAAACAGGGGAAGGAGGAATTATTTCATTTCAGCTGTCAGAGTTCTAAGTGAAAGGCCAGCCTAAAGCCACGACACAATAAAGGAACCATTCACCAAGTAAAATAATTAAAATAGAATCACAACGGATATGGGACCAGTTTACAATGCGCATGAACAATGCCGCTCTATTTCCAAGTTCTGTCAATGGATGAGAGAACAAAAGGACTTTCACTGCGGGGCTGCAGAATGTAAACCCACACAGTGAAATGCCTGACGTCTTGTCCGGGGTTTTCGAAAAACCACATGCAACTGAACTACACAACTTGTCAGATTACAAGGCTCTGCCCGACGCTCAGCCGAAGCCAAATTCCATGATTTCTCCCCTCCTTGCAAGACTTTACAGAAGGATTTTGAAATCTTCCCCCAAAACCACAATGCCTGAGTGTCACGCAAACCTTTTCTTAACTGAAACCCCATGCCAGCTCCTTGAGAAAGCCACACTGGCAAGAATAGTGTTTAACTCGCGGACAAAAATCCTATGAATCTTGGATTGGCGTTGTGCATACCTTAAGAGTGCT